CTACCCTCCAGTCCAGTTCGTGGGGATCAGGACACAGCTTGACCCAACGGGCCAACTTTTTGACTAGCTGAAAAATGTTTGGGAAGCAGCACAAAAAATAAATAAAAATGGGAAAAAAGAGAGCACAAAGTTTTATACAACTTTTGGCAATTATCTTGTGAGCCAAGTCGGTCCATAATCATATAGCCTATGCCCAGTTTATGTGTATGAGTGCCTCACTGTACTATATATGTGCTGCAAATCGTGCCTGTTTTGGCCACTGCAGCCTGTCAACAACAAAATGGCCAACAGCTGCAGTTGATGCCAACTGTTTTTGTTATTTTCTGATGGACACCAAGACAAAAATCTCTCCATGGCTGGGTAAACATTTACAAAAAAGTATTTTTTTAAAGCCCATTTCGTATTCTACCACCCACCGCCCGAACTTAATTGTGCCAATAATGTGTTGGCCCTAATCCTTTAAGTGCTCTTCAGTTGGCAATCTGCTAAAGTTGAATTTCTGCTTGCCTTTGGAATTAAACATTTTTGGGAAAGCTTTCAGCCTCCGCATATTTTTGTAGGCTTAAATAAAACTTTAAGTTCAAACAAAAACTGATTAAAAAGGTATAATTTTACATACCAAATTGGATTTCTTTTTTGTTATATTTTAAAATATAGTTAATCAATGTAAGCTTAAACAAAGTGTGAAAAATTAAACTAAATTTTAAGAAACAAAGATTTATTGGACTTCTTTTATTTTTTTATAAAACTGACTTCTTTTTAAAATCTAAATTTATAAATATAAAATAAAACAATAAAATATAGGCAGTTAGAATAATAATATCTATACTTTTATTAAGCCGATAAATTCTTTAATCTTTATATTAAGGTTAAATATTACCTCCTCTTACAAATGTTACGGACATTTTAAGAGAGCGCAATACTACTTTCCAAGTGGTTCTCTTAAGCTTTAATTTTCCAGTGCGAAGCGAAGAGAGCGAATTTCGGATTCATTTTCGAACATAAACACCAGACATCTGTGCACAAACACTAACAGAGCTCTTGGAATCAACAAAAAACATGGCCAAAAGGTGCATCCAAAGCGCATAAATAACAACAACGAAAATATAGACTGGCAGGGAGGTGACGAAAGTAGCAATAATGTCGTAGGAAAAGGGGTGAAACAGAGGGTTAAAGTGGGTCAACGCGGCGTATGCTTAATGTCTCTGCCACCGGCTTTAATGAGCCCCCAGACCGAGTTTCTTTTTTTCGCACCTCGAAGACTTCAGCCAGGATTGAAAGGACTAAAAGCGAAAAGAACAGCACTGGATGCCGGCAGATTCTAATCAAAGAAAGTAAGTGTCTGAGCACTATCAAATGAGAAAATATACTATATAAGAGGCTGCTCACTGCTTTCCGTATTTGCTCGACTTGGCACTTTTCTTCTCCATATATTTTTTGTTGTTGTTAACAAGTTTCTTACGCTATGACTTGGCCCGGCTTATGCAGTCAACTTTTGTTATGCCCAAGAAAAAATGCAGAGCGAAAGCAAAAAAAAAAATGCAAAAAGCTAGAGGAGACGCATAAAAACTTGTTGAGATTTATCTTGCCACACGCGAAGAACGCGGCAAGTTCTGCAAGGACTCAAGGACCTCAGCCAGCCAGCCAGCCAGCCAACCAGCCAACCGTCATCTAACTGCATTAGTCGGCTGCTGGTGATGCTGCTGGCGTTGCATATTCACGGCGCATATGCCAGTTTATTTATGGTCCTGCCAGCGAGTCGCATTTAAGCGCCTTAAAGTACGCAACTTCTCGCCACTTGTTGTGGCACATGTCCTTGTTTCTGACGCCCACCCACTGCGCTGGCTCACATTATGAAAATCCGTGGCAGCGACAACCCTCCACTGACTGAGTGGATACAATAACGAGCTTGAGATTGGGGAAACGGGCTGAGGAGAGACTAGTCATTAAGCACGCCATGTGGGTCACCGATTTCGTTTTCGGAAGCTCTAAGGATTAACCATGCTCCTTGGTTTAGGTGTCCGCAAAGCAGGTTTAGTTTAAGTAAATATCAATTTAAACGTTATGTGATAGCTTTAGGTATCCCCGAAAAACATATATATTTTTTTGAAAATTAAAGTAATTAGTTAAAACCGCCAATTTACTTAAATAGTAAGATTCACAAGCATGGAGTATATGTACACGAAAAATAGAAAATTTAAAAAAATATAGTTTTAAATTGAACAAACTTTTCCGCATGTTTGAAGAGCATAATTGGAAAATTAGAAACAAAATGGTTCACAAACCGAAGCCATTATAGAAGCTTTTATAGAAGTTGTACACTAGCAAAGAGCCACATGATAAAAAACAACAACGTAGAAAACAACGCACAACAAATGGCAACTGCAGAAACCAAAAGCATACACATACATTAAAAATGCCACGAAGTATGGTAAGCCCGACGTTTAAATGTTCGCCACTATTGACCGAACCAAACTATGCTTTTATTGAATCGAGTTCGGTGTTATGTTTTCATATCTATTGTGGGGGAAACAATAGGACCAACGTAACATATTCCTTTTCCCGTCGCATAACAAAAAATATTGTATAAAAATGGACACTATTTGTTTAGAGCAAATATCAAATAAAGTCGATACATACTTTGTCTGTTATTTTTTATAAAATCAACTAATTCGCGTGTTTCAAAAATGTTTGAAAACTAATTCCTCGCAATTTTTATGCGCTGAATAACAAAAGTATTATTTTTTAAAGTTTTAAATGTGGCAAAAGTGTTGCGAATTGAAAAAATTAATCCGCAATGTTGAATGGTCCGAACAAAGATTTCCTCTGTTTCGACATAAGGACAATGAAAATGGTGTCAAACAACTGTTGAGTGTGGCCACCATCAGTGCATCCTAGCTTAGCAGAAAACATCCAGCGGTTTGTATTTGTTAGCATTCAAATAACCGGAAGCGATACAATGAATCCGCAACAGGACCAGAGCAAAAAACAACAGTCTAGTATCAGTAAATGCAAAACGGAAAGCGAAACAAAACAAATGGAACGAAATGCTGCTCCAGATGAAAAGGAGCCAAGCTAAACTATCAATAACACTTAAAAGCTTTTTCAAATATTTTCCATTCGTTTCGTTTTTTTGTCTATTTGCTGCGTTCTGTGTGCATTTGTAAGTTTTTGGCGCACCATATTTATTGTTTTCTTTTATTTATTACTGCAAATGTTTTTCGCTTTTCCCGTCTCGGTATATTTAAAAATGCAATTTAGCTCGTGTTGAAATGATGAATATGCCACACTGGGGAGCGGAAGACCAACGTCATGAAATATATGTCGAGTTGCACAAGTATTTCAATATTTATTGATGAATTATTATTATTTAGTTCGGGAAAATTGTTTGCTCTGGCGAGAGAAAGTCATTGGGGAGCTAGTCTGATTTCAAATGAGCAGAATTCATTATTTATTACTACAAATATTTTTTCATGGTACAGCTTATATTCAGGTCTTTAAAAAAGTTGCTGTTTTTCTTTATTTTAATTTATATACAAAAAATTGTATAAAAGATATTTCATACACCTTTGCACATTTCATTTAAATTAAAATCCAAACGCAATTAGTTTCACCACCAATGCATAAGCCGCTCATAAGTTTAAATAATGTTAATGGTATTAAATACCAACAAAAACCGCGAAAGTTGGAGCTTAAAATGTTCTTTACCATTTTTTCATGGCACTAAGTTCAACCCACATTAATCAACAGACCTTAATGTACATAGCTTGAGCGTTATAAGTGTTGGAATAATAAACACTGAGTAATGATACATAGAAGTAAGCTACAAAAATCTTTGAGCTTTAAAATCACTTATTGTGGTTTAAAGGAATCCAAGAATAAATTTATTCGGAAGTCCGATAGATTTAGTATGAAGTACGACAAATGTTTGGGTGCATTCTTTTAAAATACTATGTATCATTAATTAAAGCATTTGACCTAACCTTGACACCCGTGGGTATTTGGCTTTTGACCAAATACCATTTAGATGGCAAAGATGACACATCAGCATTTAACCGGAGAAAACTGACGAAACTATTGCAGCTTTTTAGGCGGTGTGAGGGCATGTGTGCACGCATGTGGGGTTTTATACATACAGATATATCTTTATGCGAGCAGGGTGCCTCTGCCAGACATTTTATCTGACCAAGCGGGTCAAGCATCAGTTCATTTTATTGACATAAATAAATGTTTATGTTTATTTGTCTGTGTTTAAGCATTACTGTTTATTGTATTGTTGATCCTGCCAGTCCTGTCCTGTTTTTGCTGGTCTTGCGCACATGAAAGCAATAACAACATTGTGCAAATACACAAAAGTCAAATGTGTTTTACAAGCGCTTGTAGGGTATCCCACTCCCAAACAAAAAAAAAACATTTGTTTGTCCATAAGTGTGTACGGATTATCAGATTTTTAAATTGATTTAATTAAATGCTCTTGTCATTATAGGTAAACTTTAAATAATTATGTATATTAATTAGTACACGTTTTTGCTTGCCTACTCATATAAAAATCAGCCTATTCATTGTTATAACACATGGTCAAAACCTCTTATTTCCTGTCGGTGACAATGACCAAAAAATGTTTTTCTGTAAACATTTTGTTAATGTTAAATATCTAATAAATACTTAATAAATGCAAATGTAAAAGAAAAAAAAATAAAGTGAACCTTCTTAAAAAGTGGCTGTTTGTGATTCTTTCTCATTTCTATAAGGTTCTGGCCAAGTTTTAGATAATTTATTTATTTTGATCGTTTAAGCATATTCTGAAATATATTTTTACTATAACCAACCAAAATTGTTTATGCATTGCAAGGGCCAACAAGTTACGTGAATAGCGAAATCATGTTTTGAATTTTAGCGCCTCTGACCAATTTAATCGATACCATCTGTTATCGATAGTTGATTATTTGTAGGACCGTACTAACGGTAGTTCCCGGCACTTTCCAACACTGCTCCAGCCACGACTTACCCAGCACCGAAAGCCTGAAGATTTGCCAGCAGGGAGACGCAGAAACTATACATTATATATACCAAATATATATAGTTTCCCATCGAATTGCAGTCAACAGACGGTCCAGCGGCATCTTCTCCAGCTCTACCGAACACGTCCAACCATGCAGGTAAGTTGTGTGGAATCCAGCGATGGCAGATGGACACACAGGCCATGGGATTACTAAGCAGGATTTGTAAACCAGGATGTAACCACCACCCACAACTTTCTTTCAGTCTGGGACTGCTGCTAGGCCATGGCTGGCGATGGTCCTGCTGGTGGCACTCGTCCTGGTGGCCGACTGCTTCTACGTGCCCGGCGTGGCACCGGTGGAGTTCGTCCAGGACCAGAAGATCGACGTGAAGGCCGTGAAGATGACCAGTAGCCGCACCCAGCTCCCCTATCAGTACTACTCGCTAAAGTTCTGCTATCCCAAGAACGGCACACTGATCTTCAAGTCGGAGAATCTGGGCGAGGTGCTACGCGGCGACCGGATCGTGAACACGCCCTACGAGGTCCGGATGAATCAGCAGGTCAACTGCCGCCTTCTTTGCAACCAGAAGGACAGGCCGCTCACCTGGAGCAAGGAGGACTCCGCTCTGGTGGCCGAGCGCATCCAGCACGAGTACTTTGTGCACCTGCTGGTGGACAACCTGCCGGTGGCCACGCGCATCGTCAGCGTCAACAATCCCGCCGAGGTGACCTACGAGCATGGCTATCGGCTGGGCCAGGTGGATGGGGAGAACATCTACATCAACAATCACCTGAAGTTCATCCTCTCCTATCACATGCACTCCAAGGACAAGTACCGTGTGGTCGGCTTCGAGGTGGAAACTGTTTCGGTCAGCCACAAGGAGCTCAAGTTCCATGGCGACACCTGTAATTTCCCGGACAGCGCTCGGCCGCAGCTAGTCAATCCCAGCGGGGAGACGCAGCTGTACTTCACCTACTCCGTGGAGTGGAAGGAGTCCAAGGTGAGCTGGGCCTCGCGTTGGGACATCTACCTGGGCATGCGAGACGTACAGATCCATTGGTTCAGCATCATCAACTCGCTGGTGGTGGTCTTCTTCCTCTCCGGAATTCTCACCATGATCATGATTCGCACCCTGCGTCGGGACATTGCTCGCTATAATACGGATGACAATATTGAGGATACGCTGGAGGAGACCGGCTGGAAGCTGGTGCATGGCGATGTGTTCCGTCCGCCCAAGAATACGAGACTTTTTTCGGCCATAATTGGCAGCGGCATTCAGATCTTCTTCATGGCCTTGATCACCATCTTCTTTGCCATGCTGGGCATGCTGTCGCCTTCGTCACGAGGAGCTTTGATGACCTCGGGCATCTTTATGTACGTCTTTATGGGCACCATCGCAGGATACTATGCTGCGCGTCTCTACAAGACTATGAAGGGTCGCGAATGGAAGCGGGCGGCCTTCCTCACCGCAACTCTCTATCCAGGCATTGTCTTTGGGTGAGTTGAGCATAGCTTGGCTTCGGATTACTTTAATTCTTAATATTTAATTTATTTACCTGCAGCACTGGATTCTTTTTGAATTTCTTCATCTGGGACAAGTCGTCTAGCGGTGCTGTGCCCTTCACCACCATGATCTCGTTGCTTTTGCTTTGGTTTGGCATCTCGGTGCCGCTGGTTTACCTGGGTTTCTATTTGGGTTACCGCAAACAGCCGTACCAGCACCCGGTTCGCACCAACATGATTCCGCGGCAAGTGCCCACACAGCATTGGTATATGAATGCGATTTTGAGGTGAGCACCATTCTTATAAAGCATCCCAGTTTCCTAACTAAATTTCCACCGCATATTTACAGCACTCTGATGGCTGGTATACTGCCCTTTGGCGCCGTCTTCATTGAACTCTTCTTTGTGTTCACGGCCATCTGGCAGAATCAGTTCTACTACCTCTTTGGCTTTCTGTTCTTGGTGTTTTGCATCTTAGTGGTTAGCTGTGCCCAGATCTCCATAGTTATGACATATTTCCAGCTTTGTGGCGAGGTGAGATTTCTCGAACCCCTTTAAAAAGACAAAGCTAAACAAATTTTTTGATTACAGGACTACCGCTGGTGGTGGCGCAGTTTTGTTGTTTCTGGCGGCTCGGCCGTCTATGTGCTTTTCTATAGCATTTTTTACTTTTTCACTAAGCTAGAGATCACAGAGTTTATACCGACGCTGCTGTACTTGGGCTACACGGGTAAGTTATGAACTGCAGTCAGAGATATACCTTAAGCTTATACCATCTATCCAAAAAAAAAGGCCTCATGGTGCTCACTTTCTGGCTGCTGACTGGCTCGATTGGCTTCTTCGCCGCCTACGTTTTCATTCTGAGAATCTACGGAGCTGTGAAGATCGACTAAGGAAGCCGTGTCATCCAATCGCCACGCTGTACACCAAACTATCCTTGCAATATCATTCGATCATAAATATATTTATAGAGCAACTGTACCAAGTCTCGTTCAGCTGCGAAAATGAAAATGAAAACAAACACAAACGGAAACTAAAACAAAAACTCGACGACTCAGCCATGTGAGCTAACTTTCCCTTCTTGTCCCAGCTTCAAAAAGCACCCATTGATCAACCACTTACTAAGTCGAAACACGATATTCAGCATATATCTCTTGACCCCTGGAAGTGGCTCGATTTGCGAGAGCGTTGCGTTTTAGAATCAATCTAGAAATGCCTAATTTATATATGTATGTAAAGAATCTAATCTAAGCAACTGATATAAAACAAACAAAAATCAAATAAACTAAGCTTAATGTACGAGACACCTGCAAGTGTAAGTTTCTTAGCAGGAACGCGAAATATTTTGATCGATCGCGGACTTACGTTCTCAACTCAGTTGGATTTAAGTTCTGCTTGAGGTCGGTTCACAAATTTCAGTTTTCGAAATGTTCCGTATTGTATTCCATGCCATATGGGTATTAATATATTTGCTATCTTTTGACCATTTCTTTAATAAGGGATCTTTTGAAAGTGACGCAGTAAGCTTGATATTTTAGCAGAGTCCACAAACCTTTAAATGTTTTGTTTTTAGGCACGAAAAAAGACTGTAAAGAAACAGATAATGTCCAACGTCAGCATGGCGCTTTATTGGCTTATCCCTTTTGAATTAGTTAAAGATGATGTCGAGTGGGAGAAAATCGCCGGTGATGACGAAGCTGTGGATTTTTCTTTTGAATAATATAAGTAGTGTATATATAAAGAATTTTGAACAAAAGTTTGTTTTCTAAAAATGCTTTCAAAATAAAACACTTTGATTTCATAGTTACAATTACATTTAATTGCATAGATTATTATATTAATTGGTACAGATAATTGCTTTTAGTATTTTACACATATTAGGTTTAAAACATTATGTAAGTTATCTAGATGCAATCGTATACACGTTTATGAAGTGGGTGCTGACCAGAGTTAGTAGTGCCCATTACTCATTAGTTAAGTTCATCAATATTTGTTGAATAAGATTTAAAACTAGAAAGTGAGGTCATCACAATGAATGGAAATAACTTTTAGAGTAACAAAGATTAAGTGCCACTGCTATTCGATCAAAAGCCTTTTATTCCTGTAGCTTCACTTTCTGCTTCATAAAACCTGATTAAATAACTACCAATGCACATTTTAATTTAGGGTCTTTTCCCTGGCTAGGAATGTCATTAAAGTCAGTTCCAATTAGGCACAAACTAAGGATGGTCAACGAAGTTATTCCTTTATAATTGCTTGCACAACACATATTGCTAGAGAGGGATTTACGATTACTTAAGAAATAGATTAGAGTCTAGAGACCGTGCGGAAACAACCAAATATTTTATTCCTCCTCCTCATCCTGATTCTCCTCCTCCTCTTCCTCCGTCTCCTTCTTCCGAAGCTGATCCTCATCTGGTGGAGCCATCCATCGGCCCAGGATCTCTGTGAAAAAGTGCGCTTTGACATGGTTGCGAATCGGTTTACCTCATTGGGTTCCGATTCTTTAAACGCTAGCGATTCCTCTTCGTCTTGCGACTAACATTGCCCTCGATGATGATCTGATTGCATGCAAAGTAAAGAATTGGAATTGGAATATGGAGGTGGATAGAGTGACTCTAGTCGTATTTTATGAGGTCGGTTAGATTGCTTTTCCAGTTGGATGAGTTTATAGTATAGGGACACTTGAATTGCTGGGAGGGAGGTTAGGATGGGTTAGATTGGGGTTGGTGTTACTCCAGCACCGGCTGCTCTACCTGAAGGATCTGGCTGGCCTCGAAGGCGGTGCCCGGCAGCAGGATCACCGGCGAGGTCACATTGCCCGCCTCCACGCACAACATGTTGGGGAACTCGTCGTCCCCGAAGTCACTCATCTCACGCGATCGATCGATCCAAGGGTTCCAGATCACTGAAACATACATTTATATATGACAACATTATTTATTTCCACAAATCAAATAAAAATATACCTTTAAATCAGCAAAAATTTTAAGTAATCCGTTGAGAATTTCTGATTTAGTTATAACGTTATATTCATCCTGGACTTACCCGTGTCGGGGAAATTGTATTTGTGCAGTCTCATCTTGCGTCCGGACACCACGTTCGTGATGACGTGCTCCTGCGGCGTGTGCTGATAGATCCTGTCGGTCCACTCGTTTACGGTCACCACCTCGCGTCCCTCCTGGTAGATCGCGTTCTCCCGCGTCTTGTCGATGAAGTGGCAGCCCTGGAGACCCGTGATCTGACACCGCCGGACATCGGGCACCTTTAGGTAGGTGTGCAGCAGCATGTTGAAGGTGAAGCTCAATTCCTTGCTGGGGTTATAGACGCCGATGTGGAAGTGGAGCTCCTTTTCGCGCAGGATCAGCCGGTAGGTGATGCGGAACCTTTAAAGAAAAGATCGTTAGTCAGAAGACAAATTGAGTACTTCACACAGCGATAGAAAATATCTAAAAAATAAAATATTATAAAGGATTTAAAAAAGTTTTGAACAATTAAAGTTCTTGTTAGATTAATATAGATATTGGTAAGTTAATTTAATTTCTAAAACTCACTGATAGTTCCAGATGGAGCGTGTGAAGTCGTTGTCCATGAGCGAGAATATGGCCTCCACATCGCCGTTGTGCAGCCTGTCCGGCGGTCTCTCCAGATGCCACCGCGTAATCCTCGCAAATCCATGCTGCGGCCCGAAGGACCAAGCTCCGAACTGGGCTGCAATTGCGAAATGGAATCATTAGCTTATCGCACTGTAAAATATCCCGGATCTTGACAAACTTACGAAAGACAAAGGGAATCCCGCCACGTATCGCCTTCTTGCCATCAAAGGAGGCCAGTTTGCTGGGGGAAAGACGAGATGGTTTGGAGAGCACAAGGCTCGATTAATTCGGTTAGACGCAACTCGAAAGAAGTATTCCAGCCATAAAAACGCTTGCAGACTGAGACAGACATTCAGAAATTCAGAAATGCTATTAGCAGAAAAAAGTGTCTGGCAAAATGCTCCTTGCCCCTTTTTTGTGTCTTGTTTTTCTCTCGTGTCGCTGAGGATGACGTTGCCCCGAGCCGGGACTCGCCTTGGGTTTCGTCTCAGCTAATTTGCCGACGCATCCATCAAGCAACTCCTTCTGCCCCTGGACTTGGATCTACCTAAGCTGCTGATTTTGTTTCTCGTTCAGTTTCTGTGCATCATTTGTAAACGCTTTCAGCTGTGGAACGCATTTGACTTGCCGAATTTCATTAATATTCAAGAGATTTAAGTCCGGTAGTAGTTGACGCAAATACAAAAAAATTGGTTACATAAAAGGTGTGATAGAGTATTTATTTTTTTTTAAATTATTTAATGATTACACTTTCTGCTTAAAAACAAAAACAAATTAATTTAAAAATTAAGTACGTTTCAAATCATCATCTCAAATTAATACAGTGTCTCAAATTTTGTATCCGATTAAAAGTCAAACATAAAAATATATAAAATAAACAATTCGAATTTTAGGCTACTAAAAATTAAAACATTAATTATTTATAAGGTGAGAAAACTATACAAAAAATTGTTTAATAATGGATATTAATTTAAAATAATTTTAAGTTCTGTATAATAATAAATTATTATCATTAATCTTTTATGTAGTAGGAAATGTATAAAAAATAGTTCTTTAAAAATATATATTTTTGTAAAATTCATAGTATTTAAAAAATATTTGTGTATTTTATAGTTTTAAACTGGCAACTAAATGATATTTTAAGTGTCTCTGTCTTCAGCCTTTCTAATTATGTTTATTTCGAAATAAAGATATGCAAACCGGGCAGTCTTAAACCGGGCAAATAATTAATTTAGTTTTCTAGTGCCTCGCTCTATCCATGACCACTGCCAGTTTTTAGTGGGTTTCCGAATGCGAATGCGACTGGTGGCCACAAAAACCGAGCAAAACTTTCCGACAGACGAAAGAAAAAAGAAGTTAGGAGCGTCGACGAGGGGCTAAAATTTCCAAGTGAGTTTCTGTGTGGGATCTGGCCAAGAACCCGGCAATTGGCCGAAAGTTGCTGGCGCTCCGAACCACTGTGCCTCGAGTGGAGGGCTGGCCATGTAGTGGGGATTTATCGATCTAGCTGGCCGCGCCAAAAACTCCATTCATAAAAACTTGCACATTGTTTTGCCACAAAAGGGGGACGGGGGAAGGTGGGGTGTTCCGAAAAGGGAAGGGGAGGAGAGGGGAAGCCCAGGAGTAGGCAGCAGCAACAGGGCGAAAAAAACGGCCATCAATGGAGGTAGCTCTTGATGCAAGTGCAACGGCTCCTAGCTGCCCAGAAAGGGGGTTCCCCCCGCCTCCGCCCTCGGCCCCCGCCCCTGTGTGTTTTCGAGTTTTTGTGTTTGTGTTTTTGCCATTCGGTCGCTTTCGGTTCGGTTCGCTGGTTCGCTGGTTCGACGTTTGGGCCCGCTCGGTCCCGACGTGTTTTTTGTTGGGTGTCATACAAAAACATTTTGCCGCCAAACAGAATGGCTAAGGCTGCTCCTGCCCAACCTGTCAGCCCCTCTGGTGACCCCCCTCGCTGCCCTCCACGCCACTGTGTGCTGGAAACTTTGCGAATCACTTTTTTGGTTGCATGTCCAAACGCACACCGTTGGCTTGCGTAAGTTTGGTCTTAAAGTTCGGCCGACGCGGCGTATGAGCAATGTTTAAAGGCTACTGGCTGGGATAGCTGGCAAAGTTCAGTCCACTCACCTGACAAACAACTGCTCCTGATTGTTTACCCGCCAGGACACAACTGTGGCACCTGCAAATAGACGGTAGGCAAATATAGTTGGCTTTATTCAGGAATATTTGTTATACATTTAATATTAACAATGTTTATTATTTCAAATTAAAAAAAAATGTATTACATTTAATACTATATATAAATTTAGTCATTTGAAAAAATTGAGCAACAAAACTTCCCTAATTATATATTAGAGTTAAAAAATATATAAAATTTAAAAATATAGATATTTATATTATTATATGAAGTTCTTATAAAAACAATTTCCTTAAATCTTTTAAAGGTACCTTAGAAAACCCGATTTATTTGTCATTCTAAAAATTAAATGAATATTTAATCTAAAGGGGTTATCTAATACTTTAATACTATATTTACTGATTAGGCAAATGTTACCTACTGATAATTCTCTAGATAATTATAAATCTATTTCACAAGTACTATTAAACTTAAAAAAAAAAATAATATTTATGCCTAGGGTTAATAGTTCTTGCGATGGTTCAATTATAACAAAATAGTTAAAAAGGCAAGGTGTACTTCATATACAAACATAAAAGTGATCTACTTTATCTGTGCGATGACGATTAGCTATTCAGAAAAGCCTGAAGCACATCCAGCACATTTGAACTTGTTGATCAATGAATGAATTGAAGCTGGATCAATTGTGGGAATTATACAACAACAAACGGCTAAGCCAAGTACATGACGCACACACTTCTAACCCACATGACGGACACACACATTCGCACACACCGTTGTGAGCCAGTAAGTAACTGGCCTATAAGTAAACTGGCTGGGACCGAATCTCTGGTACAGTTAAAGACTGGGATACTGGTATGGGTATGGTTAGGGTACGGGTATGGGTATGGATCTGGGCAAGACGATGGCCTACGGCCAATGGGTGGGTGAGCACTTGGAGTGCGTGGGTGAAGCTGCTGCTGTTCCCAAAATCTCGCTCCGTTGGCCCCAATGTGCGATGGGTTTTTGGCAGGCCAAAAAAACACTACTCTGATATTTCGATCATTGTACGAATGGATTTGGGCAACACTTTATGTGAAGTTTGGATTTAGCGCATTCGAAAACTTATAATTAACAACGTTTGAAATACATTTGATAAGATACACTGAGAATAAAGAAGTCTCTAGAACTAAATTACACCTAGCCAATTAATTAATTTATACAAATTATAAAACCCCGCTTATCTAAAAAACAATGGGAATGTATATTATATGTTAGAAAAGTATTTCCAATCCAGAATGTAGAATTTAAGTTACTAATTCTTCAACAAAATATACTAATATACAGAAAATCTAGCGAGAATATATTTAGCTCGGTGCAACATTTAGAGAAAGGTTTATAAGCGCAAAAATAAATCTGTATTCCCAAAAACTTACTAAGCTGTGTGAATTTCAATATTAATTCTACAATACGCGAACATTGTATAAAATAAGGGTTTTCTTGCATAAACCACGGACTTTTTCATTTCTTCACCTAAAGATACCCATTTTAAAAGCCTTTTTTTAATTCAATCTGTTAGATGCTAGTTTCAGCCATAGTTATTGATTTTTTTTCAGGTGTACGGACCGCAGTCTGTGCCAAACGCTGTTGTGTCTCTGACTGTCTGACTGTTGCTCAAACGGCTGCGACTTGGAAACTAACGTGGGCAGGCCAGACTCAGGCAGTCGTAATTGTTGAAAGTACGCTGGGTACTGGCGTACCAACACACCGAGGTGCTCATAGAGAGGGGCCTGTTGTATACACCTATGTGTATATACGTACGTACAAATATATAACGCCTAATCGAAATGTGCTGCGAGTAGGAGCTGGGAATGGAGCTCCAAGCTCCAGTCTGAGCCCCAAGCTGGTCCAAAACCAAACCGAACTGATCCCAGACGATCGTGAGTAGCATTTACCCCTATATCGCTGTGATTTTGGCTGATAAGATAGTCGAAAGCTCTGCTAGTTGGTGCGTAGAACATCGAAAGGTATAAACAAGGTTGTTTCGAGAACGAACTGATAACCTCCAGAGGTCGCGAATACGTCAAATGGGGGGCGAAACGGGTTTCGATTTGAAATCTCCCAGGGAACGAAAGTCTAAGCCAATCATGCGCTAAAAATAACGCCAGTCAATTTTTGGCGAGCTCCGCTGGTGTTTTCGTTAATTATGATTAATTGTGGCTTTGTATTTCTTTTTTGTCGTCTTTTTTATTTTGTATTTCTGAAGTCTAGGGATATCTGCTCACCGTGCAAGTTGATGGTGCAAGTGGTGTTGTTACCGCGATCGAGAACAACAACACTGGTGGCGGCCATTGCGGCCGCTGTCGTGGCCATTTTTAGATTTTCGTAACGGTAAATGTATATCCGCCGGATCTGCCAAGATCCTAACTGTGTGTTGCTTTGTGTGTGTGGGAGCTTTAGGAGTTATTTTAGATATTTATTCAAAATAAAACTGTTGCTCCGTGGCACTTAAAGCAAGGCGATCTGGTTTCGTACTCAAAACTGGCGTCGATTGAACTTTAATTTGCGCATTTACATAATGTTTGCAAAAATTATTCTGCACACAAAGCACCGCACTCACACAAATGGGCGCGCTCACACACACGCACACACACACGGGCACACACACGCACGCACAGAGCGCAGCTTGAGTTTTTGTCAATGAACAAATACGTATGGAAAAAACTCGTGCAAAAAACGTCGGCAGCGAAAGTGTCGTGGATCCGGACTTTGGATGCAGCGCCGAGCGACCGATTGGAACTAAACCAGCTTACGCCAACTGACCGCCTTCTGTTGCAGACTAAACAGGAGCTGTTATGCCCCAAAAGAGGCTTTAAATCAATGGTCGACTGTTGGATGCCCTTTCTCTGGGAAATGGTAATAAAACATTAAAGCTTTAATTGCTTTGATTTAATTAATTAATTTTATTTATAGTTTATTTCATTAAGCGTTGCTTAATAGTTCCAAAATTTCCCTTAAAATAGCTTATACGGCCGTAGTGTCAGTTAGAATAATTTACTTGATCAAAGGCAACAGTTCGTGTGTGATAAATAAGGCCTGTTAATGCCTTTCGGTAATCATGAAATCAAAAAATAAATCGTTTAAATAAGCAGTAATCAACTATAACTCCCAAAACCAAAGATAAATACCAAATAAATAACTAAATTATACATTGCAAAGGGTAAAACTTTAACTTTGAACGATACTGCGCAGAAAAGCTTGCAAATTAACCCGTTGACTTGATGGACTTTGAATTTAGCAGGGGAGCAGCTCCAATTGGCAATGTTAACGCAGGTATGAGCCACAGCTGATGGGAAATCGGCTTATCGATAGGCAAAGCAGCGTTGTTGTCCAATCAGAAAAAGTGTAGGCGCAGACGAATAGCATAAATAAAATTTTAAAGATGTAAGCAATGCCTGCAGTTATGCGGATACAAATCAATCTTTAAAGAAATACGGGAGCAAAGCTACGTTTTTCACTAAATACCCAAACGATTACTCATTTGCAGCAATGTTGAGGCCGAAACTGAGATAACAAATCCCACGAGCAAGAAGAAGAGCCACCAGAAAAGAGCCAGTGGATAACAACATTGACAATAAAAAAAAAAAAGAAACACCTGAGTAGCGAAAAGCAATCATAACGAGATGTCACGTAAAATGGCCAAGTTCTACAAGCTGGACATCAACCGGACGGAGTGGGAAATACCGGAGACCTACCAGAACCTGCAGCCCGTGGGTCAGGGTGCCTACGGCCAGGTGTGCAAGGCCGTGGTCCGGGGAACCAGCACGAAGGTGGCCATCAAAAAGCTGGCCAGGCCCTTCCAGTCGGCGGTGCATGCCAAGCGCACCTACCGCGAGCTCCGGCTGCTGAAGCACATGGACCACGAGAACGTCATCGGCCTGCTGGACGTCTTTCATCCCGGCCAGCCCGTCGATTCGCTGGAGCAGTTCCAACAGGTGTACATGGTGACGCACCTCATGGACGCCGATCTGAACAACATCATACGCACCCAGAAGCTGTCCGATGACCATGTCCAGTTCCTGGTCTATCAGATCCTGCGCGGCCTGAAGTACATCCACAGCGCGGGGGTCATCCATCGCGACCTGAAGCCCTCGAATATCGCCGTGAACGAGGACTGCGAGCTGCGCATCCTGGACTTTGGGTTGGCTCGACCGGCGGAGAGCGAGATGACCGGGTACGTGGCCACGCGATGGTACCGGGCGCCCGAGATCATGCTCAACTGGATGCACTACAACCAGACGGTGGACATCTGGTCGGTGGGCTGCATCATGGCCGAGCTGCTGACGGGACGCACCCTCTTTCCGGGCACCGATCACATCCACCAGCTGAACCTGATCATGGAGGTGCTGGGCACGCCCGCCGACGAGTTCATGAGCCGCATCTCCTCGGAGAGCGCCCGGAACTACATCCGATCGCTGCCGGTGATGCCGCGGCGCAACTTCCGCGAAATCTTCCGCGGCGCCAATCCGCTGGCCATCGATCTGCTGGAGAAGATGCTGGAGCTGGACGCCGACAAGCGGATCACGGCCGAGCAGGCGCTCGCCCATCCGTACATGGAGAAGTACCACGATCCGACGGACGAGCAGACAGCTGCCCTGTACGACCAGAGCTTCGAGGAGAACGAGCTGCCGGTGGAGAAGTGGCGAGAGATGGTCTTCACCGAGGTGACGGCCTTCAAGCCGACAGCCGCTTTCGCCGAGCTCCTGCCCAAGGAGCAGTAGGGAGCCCAGTCCCAGTCGCTGCTGTCCCTGTCCGTTCAATGATGCTATATATACATTTAGATGAGTCCTCTTTACACCTAGTTCAAGCGGATGTTGTGCTCAGTCGTGATTTCTCTACTCGTCGAGTGTAAACAATCGGAGATATTTATTCTAGAGCGGTTTATATTTAGAAACGCTTCAGTGGCTGGTTTTTTAACGATTTGTTGTTACCACAGAGGCGCACGTAAACGTAAGGTGAAAATGTATTTTCGAACCTCCGATTAGCATTCGATGAATACAGAAATTGCGGTTGAACTAGGTACATATGCATATAATGTAGCGATTTGGAAATGTTTCCAAAACAAAGTCACAGCCTTAATGTCCAGTTCAACTTTAGATTTGGTGTCGGTTTTAAAACACACACTGTTCTTGTGAATAATCCTGTAAATGTGAGTGTACATGTACATCCTAGTTCGTAAGCGAACGCATCTCGCGGCCAGTAACTATAAAAAGAGCACTAGTGTCTACGTTGAATCCAAATAAATGTGCTATGTATTTTAAAAGAGGAGATCCTCCAGATAGCGTTCGAATTCTTGCTCCCTAGAGGTCTGCTCCTGGCCGAGATCGGGTTGTTGTAGCCAGATCTGATCGTCCGCCGTGGTGGTGGTGTCTTCTGTTGTGGGCTCCTTGTTGGTTTCTGGCTGGGACTCGGGAGGCGTCTCCTCCTCCGCTTCGCCATCTGTGGAACTCTCCTGATCGGCGTCCAATTTACGACGCTTTCTTTTACGCTCAGCTCTGCGTTCTTCCTTTTCCCGGCGTCGTTGCTTCTTGAACTCCTTCTTCTTGGTGCGGTAGTTCAGCTGGTCCGTGTGCGTGGGACAAAGGCGCACCTACAGATTTATGGAATGCCTATCAGTGAAGTAATGTATGTTGATTCCCACAACCCACCTTAACCAACGCATTCAGGGGCTCTCCCTTTTCGATGTACTTGAAGTTGACCTCCCAGCTGCGCAGATTCGTGCGCTCCCCGCAGTGCCGACTGCCGCACTGGAACTGTCCTGTCCCGGTGACCACCTCCTGCTCCGTCCGCCAGCGCAGGGCTATCTTGTTCTCCTTATAGCGCGACAGATCCGCTATGCAGTACTCCTTGAACAGCTTCTTGTAGTAGCGCAGGGCCAAACGCTGCTCCCAGCTCAAGGAGTCGGTGTCTACCTCCTCATCCTCCCACAGAAAGCGGTGGTTCTCCCGGATCACATCGATGTCCCGCTTGTGGCGGCGGGATTCCGCATCCGCCGGGGAGTTGAGCACGTAGTTGTTTAAGATATAGTTGTGTCGCTCCTTGGCCGTCAGATTGTTCAGATTCACGGGAAATAATTGCGAGCCGCTCATTGTTTATTGTTTTTTGTTTTTGTACCGAGAGATTCCGATTGCAAGCAAAACCTATCGATGTATCGATGACATTCTGCCAATATGGCTATTTTCGCGCCAAATCTGGACTTTTTTTATCAAAGATTTTTGTCTTTGTATTTAGAGCGTCATCACTTATGAATGGGGTGCACAAACAATCTGCGCTACGTATATATTAATTTACTAGATTGCAGCCAATGATCGCATTGCAAACACTGCGCCGGAATAGACATGTCTGAATCCCCGAAGGGGAATTGTGTAGCGGGTGCGGTTGCCATGTAAATTTCGATAAGTTTTTCGCTCAAAACATTTCGCTCATCACAAGCAGAGCGATAAAGTTGACGCCTCAGCATAACAAAAGAGTGAAAATAAAATAGGAAAAAGCTGGGGAAAGTTGTGCCATAAATCAAACATGGCTTGCAGTTGCAGCCCGCTGTTCTTTGTGTTTCTGCGGAAGAATCTGCTCTATTTGCGATGCAACTTCCTACCGCTGCTGTGCATCTTCATAGGCTTCATTGGAGTCCTCACTGGCTACTTGCACTGGTCAACAAAGCCTGTGCAGCACCGATTGGAGGAGTTTGAGCCCAAAAATGAGGTTAGCTGATAATGATATCACCTGCCCTTGGCTGTAATATATTTATATATGTTTGTATATACACCTTACTGCGAAATACATACATATGTAAACAGTTAGGTGTTATCTGCGATTTATATAAAAACCCATGACCGCAATTCAAAACTATTTTGATCATTTTCACTTGTTGTCAGATGGTACTAAAAGAAACGTACTTCCCCGGAAACGAATTCGACTACATATACTATGCACCCACCTCCTCGATTGTGGAGGACATCGTGGACCTCCTCCGACTGGATCTGGGGATCATACCGGAGCGTAAGTCCACAAAAATATGTCTTCACACATTTCTAATTAAAACTTTCTTCCTTAGGACTTCGGGCGTACAACAACAGTTTCGAGATGCAGCTGGACATGGAGCAGCAGTGCCGGGAAAGCTGCTTTGCTATCAACTTCAACCAGGTGCCAAATCGTGGCTCTGAAGGAAAGTTTCAATTCAGCCTGAGCTCGAATCAGATGCGAATTTCGCCCAAGAAGCGCTATGTGAACGACGAGGAGATTAATCACCAGAAAGGTGCGTTCCCCGAAATTATGACCGTTGTGTTCCCTTGTTAACGATTCTGCGCTTTGTTCTTTTCTTTCAGATGACGATGATTACATACGGGCGGGGTTCCTGACCCTGCAGCACATACTGGACAAACAGTACATGAAATACCAGGAGCTGGGCAAAAACTACGAGGTGCTGGTTAGCTCGATGCCGAATCTAGAGGTTACTAGCATGGATAGCCATCGGCTGACCTACTTCGGCACCCTGTGCAGCATCCTCTTCAAAGTGGTTTTGCTGAGCACCTTTGTGGTGCCCTTTGTAGAGGAAAAGCAGAACGGGCTGAAGGAGTTTCTCAACCTGGTCACGCCCATGAGTTTTCTCAACGGCCTCACCTTCTTCCTCATTCGCTTTGTGTGCTACACAGCGCTGATAATTTATGTCCTGGTCGTCGCATATGTCTACAAGGCACTGGGACTGATCTGTTTCGCTTATGTGGCGGTGTTGTTTTTGCTTTATATATTGTCCACCATGTCGTATGCATATCTGATCTCTGTTTGTTTCCATTCAGGTAACTAGATATCTCCGATATCCATTCTGTTTTTATTGAGTTTGCTTATTTTCCTTGCAGTTTTCTATGCGAAGATCGGCGGCCTGGTGATGTTAATCATTCCGTATGTGTTTTCTTTCGTTCGAAGCTGGGCCACATCGCTGGCCTTTGTCTGTTTTAGCACCAATGCCTTCTTGGAGGGACTAGATGTTTTTCAGACATTCTCAAATAAGCGTAAGGATTTCCTTGAGTTGCTATTTGTAGCTTTGCATTATATTTCCCGACTTGCTTTATTTTGTAGATCGCGAATTTGGGGCTGCGGATCTCTTCCGTGTAATCAAATACGATTCCTATAGGATGTTTTGGGTCTATGTTGTGCTCATTTTCCAATCCCTATTGTACGCCCTGCTCTACAATTACTTGGGTTGTGTGTATCCCGGTCCTGGTGGTCTAAAGCGACCAATTTTGTTTTTCCTAGACGTAAGTACCACATGTAAAATTGAGTGTAATTTTATTATGCGGGTATATTTTTAGATTGGTTAGTTGTAGCTAAGAAATCTTGGATATAATTTTGAAAATTCCTCGGTCGAATGTCGCATTTTTCTTTTCGCTGTTTTTACTCGGTATAACTAACGTCGGCTATCGGATCCGGTTAGATTAATTACTTCTATTCTGTGATTGCTTTGAATTTGCTTCTTATTTAGTTTCGCCATCGGTAAGACGAATAAATCTCGCTTTTATTTGAATTCGGTAAAATTGAACTACTTTATTTCAGTTCCTTTATCGGTTGCGTGTTCATAAATCGGTTATTATCGGACGTCTTACGGTTTCGGTTACGGTTTGAGTCAATGGTATGTTCTTCGAAAGGGTTATTTACCAATTTTAAATGTTTTTCTTTTTTATTTTAGCCCAAGACATACCAGAAACGACAACGCAATGAATACACGACAGCACCCCGTGGCACCCACGCCATTATAATCACCGAGTTGTGCAAAAAATTCCAGACAAGTAAACGTGAAACGCTAATTTCGGACAACTTAGATATGACAATCAACAACAAGGAGATCACTGTTTTACTGGGCCACAACGGTGCTGGCAAGACCACGATGATGAACATGATAATGGGTGAGCAAGGAAAACAATTCCTAGTTCTTAACCAACTCATGCTGATCCTCTGACTTTTCCAGGACTGGTGCCCAAGGATTCGGGCAAGATTATAGTGTGTAGTGAGCGCGACGTGGCTTCCTATCGCCATCTGATTGGCTTCTGTCCCCAGCACAGTGTATTCATGAGCTACATGACCTGTCACCAGCACTTGGAGTTCTTTGCCCAGCTGCGTGGAGCTCGTCGCTCGGATGCCCGTGACTGGGCATATGAGAAGCTAAAGAAACTGAGCTTATATGACGAGCGAGACAATTACGGTCGGAATCTGTCGGGGGGCATGAAGAGACGTCTATCCCTGGGTATCGCTGTTGCCGGAAATACCAAGTAAACTTTGGATCTGTTTTATTAAGTAAACGCCGTCTAAAACTTCGTATATTTCGTTCACAGAATTGTAATCCTTGACGAGCCTTCATCGGGACTAGACATTAACTCCCGACGTGAACTGTGGGACATTCTGTTGAATCTGCGCAAGGAAAAGGCCATTCTGGTCACCACCCATTACATGGAGGAGGCCGAAGTCCTTGGGGACACCATCTGCATATTGGCCAATGGCAAGCTGCAAACCACTGGGTCTCCGTTGGAGTTAAAGCGCAAATCGGGCATTGGTTATCGCTTGAAACTGGAGGTCAAAGACTTTACATTCCGCGAAAACGAAATAATGGAAATAATCCACGACTTTGTGCCAACAGCCAGAGTTTTGGTAAGATACTAAATTGATTTTTTTTTAATTATGGACATAAGCCTAAGTTCTTTGAACTTCGAACAGAATGTGGTAAAGCCAACTGTCTATATTTGTCTGCCGTATGCCTACAAGAGGTGCTTCTCAGAAATGCTACACAAGCTGGAGACAAAGACCAATCAGCTGGGCATAAATACAATTTCAATGACCGACACTTCCCTGGAGGATGTTTTCCTAAGGTAGGTTTTCGGGAATAAAGCAGACATAATTCATAACAAATGCCTTGACAATTGCAGATGCGCTGGGGAGCAGGATCAAGTGGACACTCCGGATGGCTCGCGAAATGATGCACCCCTACTGACCCCCTACAAACGATTGACCAACCAACCCATGCAACCCAGTCTGCAGCAACTTTGGATGGCTGTGTTTTACAAGAAGTGGTCATTTATCTCCAATGAGTGGTTATACTCGCTGATAATGGTATGCATTATACAATCAACAGTCGTTTAAGGGACTATTAAGTGCAGTCACATGATAAGGGAACTTTGAACAGCGATAGCAATGCATTATGCACTCTTCCCCCCTTCCTTTCCAGCTGTGCATTCCCTTTGTTTGCGTTTGCTGCGCCATACTCGTGATGCACGCCATGTCCATAGTGGAGAACGAGGAGGCGTTGCCCCTGAAACTCAGCCAGATGGGCACTGGGGTCATATACATCCACAATCCGACGGGCCACCATGCCCAGGTGGAGCAGCAGCTGCGTCAACAGATCGAACTAAGTGGAATCACGGCGAAAACAATGCAGCTGCGTGGGAGCAATGATGTGAAAAATGGTGGGTACTCCCGCATCGTGCTGAAAATATTAATTACAATATTATTTTGCTATAGAATCCCTGGAATTGCAACGCGATAACTTGGCTGACTTCCTGGAACAGGTGATTGGCATTATAGACATGTATGGCGGTGGCCGTGGCACGGCGGATACGCCCCAAATAGAGATCTTCTACTCGGGAAATCGCTACCACAGCTCTGTGGAGCTCATTAATCTGGTGGACTCTGCAATGCTGAAGCTACAGCTTCCACAATCGGATATTGAGACGACCTACGTGCCCATACGTCGATTCGTTAGCGATATAAGCCCTTCACGGCTGGAATACTATGCGGTCATTGTGTCCGTGGGCATGTTCTTCTTCATGTTCTACTTCATCTCGCTGCCGTTTCGGGAATATGCCAATGGATTCCGCCAGCTGCAGACCATGTCGCGATTTACTTATTGGCTGGCCCATTTCGTCTTTGATATGCTGCTCCTGATCTTTGTTTGCTCCTTACTCTTTCTTCTACAATACTTGATTATGCCAGCCGAGCTCTACTCCATGGTGGAGCTGAGGGTCATTGTGTTGAGCATCTTCTTCTACGGCTGCAGCTACTTGCCCATTCTCTATGCCCTGGGCAACAACTTCAAGTCCATCTCGACGATATCTACGTACTTGCTGCTGATGCTGATTGTTTCAGGTAACATT